TCACCAGGGATCTTTTCCAGAGCCTTCTCATGTTCTATGCCTCAGTTTAAACTAGCAAGTTTTTGGGACCATCAATAAATGGGGCAGAGTGACACCCTCAAATGGGGAATATATAGCTTCCCGAATCTAAAAATGCCCACTAGCTGCTGCACTTATTTTGGGGATGTGGGGAACTGGAGGGGGAGAGATGCAGTAACTTATGTTTCACCTTAAAAGGGATATCGCAACATGCCCCTCGCCCTCAACCTCTAGACATTTCCCTGAGGTAGAAGGCCCCTGAATATTTGTTGGGTTTATTCCTATCATCTGACATGCAAATGTCTTACCAGTAAGTCTAGACTAGTTGCTACTTCTTGCTCACTAGGACCAATCAGCATGATATCATCAATGTATGGACCAGTGTGACTCCTTGTGGAAGGGAAAGATGATCAAGTTTCCTGCAAACTAGGTTATGACATAGAGCTGCAGAGTTGATAGACTCCTGACGTGGGACAGTGAACGTGTATTCATGACCTTGCCAGGAGAAACAAAACTGCTTCTGCCAGGGTTTACCAACAAGGATGGAGACAAAAGCATTTTCCAGATGAATGGGGCACACTAGCACGTTCTCAGATATTACAGGGGATGTGCTAATTTGCTCAAGCAATGGAGCAACATCTAGTAAACCAGCTACGATGGGAGTCACCATCTGGTTCAGCTTGCAATAACCCACCGTCATTCTCAAAGATCCATCTGTTATCGGCACTAGTCAAATAGGCAGGTTGATGTGGATGTGGTATGAACCGCCACCCCTGCATCTTGCAAATCCTTGGTGGTGGCCTCATCCCTGCAGTCCCTCCAGGAATGCAGTATGGCTTTTGCTTTGCCATTTCTCTAGATAGAAGCAGTTCTACTGGCTTTCTCTTGGCCTTTCCCACCATAATAGCCCTCATTCCGCTGGTCAGGGAGCCAATGTTTTGATTCTTTTGGTTCCTTAGAAATGTACAAAGCATATCTGAGGAAGACAATGTAATATTCCTCCTGAGGAATGTAAATGTACACTTGCACAGAAAGAAAAATATAAAATCCTGAATAAGAAGACTCAGCAGCATTGTGTCAATAGTTCTTAAGCTCATACACACACTTTTACAACCTACAAATTTATTCTGAGAAAGTTTTCACAAATCCCTTTCTCTGTTTTTTGTTAGAAAATAACCTAGTATTTACCTTCTTCTAACACTGTTTCCTTGGAAATCTGGGAAATAGGAAATGTCATCTGTGATAGCAGGACCCAGGCTTAGATTGATAATACTTGGGGAACAGGCATGGTTTCAGGGTTTTTGAGTCTTGTGATTTGTAAATCAGTGTCCCCCTTGCAGGTCCTGGGCTCTGCTCAAGTTCTCCTTTGAGAGATATGGACTCCTGCGGGGATGAAGAGTCCAAGTCTAGACGACACCCTCACTGACACACAGGTTTTATTTCCTTGTTACTCAGGTGTCACCTGGGGAGATGCAGCACAGACCGGGACGGCTGCAGGGACTCCTGGTGCTGTCCTTCATGATGTGCTGTACTTCCTGCCCTTAATCTTTCAGCAAAGCTGAGATAACTTTTGCCAGAACAGCCTACTAGTTTCCTGTTAGAATGAGTCTCTGAACTGAAGACCATCGCTGACCTTCAAGCAGAGTGGGCAATGCAAATACCTACAGCTTTCACTTTGGAGTCAGACGAGTTCATTCTAAAGTTTCTAGGGATAGGTAACAATAGCCATGAAAGCTCTAAAAACAAAGAAAGAATTACATGATGGCTGGTCCCACTGCTTATCACATCTCAGAAGCCTTTACAATTATACAGTTGGTGCTGGTAGAGAATGGACAGATAGAAACCCGATTATAATAGAAGGTATAAAAAGAGACACATGCCCAAAGAAATTCTTATATGAATAAAGTCACATCTCAAATGACTAGGAAAAGGACAATGTTTTTGATAAATACAGTTGAGACTACTGGAGAGTCATTTAAAAAATAAAATATATCCATACTTCCACGTCATTTTTAATTTTAGATATCTCCAAGTAAGAAAACAAAACGCATTCTTCAATACAAAAACAATCAGTGCATTTGTTAAGAATAGGATATGTAGATCTATGACTCAGAATTTGCGGAAATAAAAAAAAGACTGATAATGATAAGTGCATAAAATTCAAAAATTCCTGCCTAGAAAAATCAACATGAACTCAAACACCAATAACAAATTGAAAAATATGTCTAATTCATATCACAGAAATGGGAAACGAAAAATGATAATTTCATTATTTCCATAGAAAAGAATAATAAAAGGAAAAAGGGGCTAGTGTCTTAATCAGAAAATTAAGAGAAAAAAAAAAACAAAACAAATGGCCCTTGCATATATTAAACAAAAATAAGCACATTCATAATAATAAAATACACAGGAGTACTGTTTACTATCTACCAAACAGGAAAATATCCAAAAGGTTGGCAACACCCTCAGTTGGCAAGGCCAAGGAAAAGAGGCTCTCTAGAACACTACAGAATAATGTACAACACTCCTATGGAAAAGAATTTGAAATATCTAAGACAGTTACAAATACATTTGCCTGATGATCCATTCATTTCACTCCCAGCGTTATATCCTGACAGTAGGTCCACACGGTGTATTCATCCTGTCATTCGTTATCTGTAATAACAAAATATCAGAATGGTCTGAGTGAGATACATTCTAAAATGAAAACTGCAAGGCACAGATAATGTGTAAAGTAACCTCCATTCTCAATAACAAAAGGAGATTAATGAACACAGGAGAGATGTCAGAAACTAATAAAATTATAACTTCGTTCAATGAGGGAACAGGTGTGATGGAAGTAAGACTACTCTGCATAGACACTTCTCGTATCACTTTGATGTTTAAAACATGTAGGTGTATCTTACATTCAAAAAAAAAAGTTTAGATTAAAAGAGAAAGCAGAAGAAAACTTTTAAATCAAAAAAAATGCTAATGGAAATAAATATGAAACTGTAATTATTTGGTAAGTGAGCCACAAATGATAAGAATTATTTCAAGTCTTTTTTGAAGAGGATACTTAAACTCAGAGTTCAACTTCCTAGGAAAAATTAAATGCAAAGACATTTGAACCTTCATTCACTAGTTTAACTGCTAATTATAACGTATGCATTATACTTTTGATATTATGTTCATGGATATGGAAAAATAAAAATGTACAAGTAAAGAGAGAAAATGTACTAAAAAGTTTTTTAACTCTGTATTATTAACCTTGAATTATAAAATCCAATAGGAACTGATGAATTGTAAATTTCATTTCTATTTCAAAGTTCTGAGAACCAAAATACTGTGCAAGTGAAGACATTTCAACACTATTGAACACTCCCATCTAGCACCAATAGCACAGGTCTTGGGTTCTAAACACTTTTGCCAATAAAAAAAAATCAGATCTTGGAAAATCATGATTATGGGTGTTGGGCAGGGGAAGTACACAGTGAGCCTGGAACATCATGTTGTGCTAAAAAGAAGAGCAATGCTCAAAGGCTAATGGGATGCAACAAAAAGTCTACAACAAAGACTAATGGGATACAACAATCAGGAGCCAGTTTCAAGCGGTACCCACTTGCCAAATTTGGGATAATTTGAGCTTCAAACAGAATAATGACTATAATTGATTGTGACAAATTGAATAAATAAAAATTCATAAACCAGTGCCGATGCACACAACATTTTTAAAAAAGAAAGGAAAACATCTTTAAAGGCATCATTAAGGTCACTATTACATCAATTTCTCACTGGAAAAATTGGAAATCAGAGGGCCAAAATAGAGATTTACCAAATCTTTTAGGTGAATGTTTAATTTAAACAGAATTGGTAGATTAACACTCATCTTTACGCAAGAATGACAGTTAAGAAATGCAGAAAAATGATACAATTGATCTTAAAAATCACTATTTTGCAGGCAAAAATAAAATAATTGATTATAGGAAAGTGTCAGAAATAGATTCCACAATCATTATGTGAAAAGTTTTAGAGAAATAGCACGTACACAAAGTGAAGATTAACAGCAAAGCTAACTAGCTGATTGTGACAATGTTCCTTTGTGAGAAAACTGGCTGTCACCAGTGATTCAGATTTATATAAATTGGCTCCATTGGTGACAGCCAGGTCTCTAGTCTAAGAAGGAAACTTGATTTGATGCAACACAAAGTTACAAGTTATCATCATAAAATAATTTTTTACGATTAATGGTTTATACCTTTATTATCATATTACAGTTTGCATGTTTTTGTAGAAGTTAAAAACGTCTATAGTCAACCAACTTTAACTAACTATGCTGTTTCAAATGTACAAACATAAAAATCGTATTTCAGACTCTTGGGGTTGAATGTTTCCAAAACCCTCTATACCAGCAAAATCATGAAAAATTTATTATATCTAAAGATGATTACCAAAGAGGTCTCTATACTTCTCAGCATGTAATGTCTTACTTTATATATATCTTTATTTCTAAACAATATATTCTTGTGGTTCAAGGGCGATATATGTTAAAGATAGAAAAATTGGAAAATACAGCGAAGTATAAAGAGTTAACCACCAACTCTTACCCCAATTATCTCTAAAGTCAACTCTAGTTATGGGAAATATTTTATTATACTTCCTGGCAATCTTTGTTCTATAAACATTTGTTTGGGGCTCAAAGCATAGTGTGTGTGTGTGTTTATACTTGATATTGGAATTTTTATCACGTTTCATGTCAAGATTATGCTAGCTATGCACCCAATTAGATTCTAATTCCTCTTTATGTTTCATTTGAATTATGATGTGAGCTAGATAGACATCTTGTAGAAGATCATGCATTTCACCACTTTTTCATATATTTATCTATTGATAAGTAAGCAATGTAAGTAATAACTACTTACATCTTACTTCTAACATGGGTATGACAGTTTGGTTTTTACGTGTTTGTGACGTGATATTATTTTCAAGATGGAGACAAGCCCTTTTTTCCATTTCCTCTGAAATAGAGAGTCTCAGAAAACCTCAGAGGTTATGGAGAAGCTTTGGGAAAGTTGGGAGAAGGATGGATGGAAGCAGGCACTGAGGTGATGGCATCTAGATTCTGGCCATAGATACTTGATGAACAGGACACAGAGCGTTTTCATTTGCCAAGTTTTAATGAGGTTCTTTTAGAATTGATTCATTGGTCTCTCAGATTATAATCACATTGTCCACATAATATTTAACACAAATTCTAATGTATGAGTAAAAATGAGTTAAACAATACTTGAAGAAATAAACTGAGAAGGATTGGATTAATAATGAAAAATTCTGAATAAATGTACATATGTGAATTTTATGACTGCATGTTAATCATGGTTCTATCCACAGGTGGGATACGCCACTTTCCCTTCACGACAGGTTGTTCGAAATGTTGCAGGTGGTGTCTTTGGTCGATATCGACGTTTGCATGTAAATTCAACGGTATCCCCTGTTTCAGAATACAATTTTTTGTCATATGACCATCGTAGTTCTATCTTATGTTTTTCCATCATTTCTTCTGATATTACACATGCATCTGAAGGCAAAAAAATGAACATAACACATTAAGGAGTATACAAATATTGTCCACAAAAATTCAGACTCAAGTAGAATCTTCTATGCTGTTAGGACTTCATTCTTAAAACTTTTTACAAACCAATTCATTGAAAATCCAGTAGGTGGATTTAAACCATTTTATAAAATTAATGATGTAAAAATGAAGTACTATGTTTAATGGATGATAACTAAAGGTTATAATCTAAGATTCATAATATCAATTATCATATGAAGAGCTTTCATAAAAGAATGTTTTGTTGCTGTTGTTGATTCAACAAGAATCTTTCAAACTTTATTTCCCCACACATTAATATTTGGTAGCAAGCATTCCAAAGATGAATTCATTTAATCCATGAAAATTCTATTATAAACAGCAAAACATCATACTCATTACACTGATTTTCCCAGGATGCGTCAGAATATTAAAATATTTACCTAAACAATTTGGTGGTTCTGACCACTGTCCATTCCTACATATTATATTCCTGTTTCCCTGAAGCACATGGAAGGACTGGCATTGGTACTCAACTGAGGATCCTGGAGCATACACTGGTAATGGGAATGAGGTAATGTCTCCATTGTCAATAGGTGGAGGGGGCCCACATTTTCCTTTAGAGTCTAAAAAATATGATTTGATTATTGAAAGACCAAGAAAAACATAGGTTAAACTAAAGCAAATAAAAGTATAGCACAATACGTAATATCAAGACTTGTGATTTCTGATGACAGAAATTATTTGTTGAAGAAATTTTAATCATTTAAAGTGAAAGTCACATTTTTAAGCCCTTACTTTCACCCCGCATGAAACTACACATAAAGCATCAACAAATACGTCTGTTTCGCAGTACCCCCGTAATAAAAAATGTTTTTCTTTGTGAATATATACGGGACATTGGGCTAGCTAAGACAAACAAAAAAGTTCCTTGTTCTTATATACAACATACTGCCGTGTCTGTTGGATCTCTAGTCAGTTTTTATTGATTTACATTCTTACTGTAAAAGAAACATCACTCCTTTAATAGAATTCAAGAGTTACAAATTTACATAATGTGAAAAGGAATTGCTGGCTTCCTGTTCTGGACAAGATGAGGTAGAAACATTTCTGCTTATTCCTTCTGTTAAGTATAACTAAAAATCCTGAACATATTATAAAAAGCAACAGAAGAGATTGTGAAAGATGTGGAGAACGGTCTCTAACCATCTGGTTAGAGACTTTGGGATTCAAGGAATTAAAGTGCAATGAGTTGTCATGGTTTTCATTTTGTCTTCTAAGTATCCTGGACTGGGCACTGAAGAAGATTGTAACCCAGAAACGATATCAAGATTAGGCAGAAAAGAAGAAAAATTCCCAAGAAGAGCCTGCTCTCTTTAGACAAAAGCCCAGGAAAGGAGCAGCCTCGCAAGACAGAAACATTTTCTACAATAGCCAACTTACTCTGGAAAAACATCATAGAAGAAATCTACAACTAATCTTCCCCCCACCTCAATCAAGAGAGGCCAAGTGAGGAGACTGGACTTCTACTCACACTCTGAGGGATCAAGACACCCCTCCCCTTGTCTGTGGTGTCAGTGGAGGCAGAATGGGAAGCCTGGACTTGCACACTGCCTGCAGTAAGGGAGGCGTGATAAATAAAAAATTCCAATAAAATCCAGAGTTTCAAAACATAATACGCAAAAGGTCCAGAATACAACTGAAAATCACTCATCATACCAAGGACTGGGAAAATCTCAAAAGAGAAAAGACGATCAACAGAAGACAACATTGAGATGATACAGAGGTTGGAATTATTTGACAATGGTTTTAAAAATCCAGTGGGAATCATAGAACTAAAAAACATAACAGAATAAAATAATGTCACTGGAGGGGCTCAATAACAGATTGCAGATGACAGAAGGATAAATCACCTTGAAGATAGAACAATACAAATCACTCGCTTTGAAAATAGACTGACAACAAAAAAATAGACAGAGCTTCAGGGACCTGTGGGAAGATAGCAAAAGACTGGAGACTCAGGAAGACAAAAGAAGGGGGTTGGAGATGAGGAAAAAAACTCACAAAATAATGGCTTAAAATTTCCCAAATTGGGCATAAGGCATATATCTACATATTAAAAAAAATGAGTGAGTACCAAACAGGATTAACCCAAGAAATTCATGCCAAGATACATAATAATCAAACTGCTCAACACTAAAGAAAAAGAAAAAAATCTCAAAAGCAGCTAGATAGAAATTATGCAAGGCTATAGGGAAAAAAGGATTCGAACATCAGTGTGGTTTTCATCTGTGACCAAGGAGCCAGAAAGTGACAACATTTTTCAGGTGCTGGAAGAAAAGAACTGTCAACTCCAATTCCATATCCGGTGACATTATCCTTTAGGAATAAAGGGAGAAATGAAGACATTCCCAGACAAAGGAAAACGGAGAATTGGTCTCCATCAGACCTGTGCTTAAAGAATTGCTAAGGAGTTTTTCAAATCAAAAGGAAAAGATAACAGAAGGATGATTGACACTTCAGAAAGGAAGATAAAACAAGGGAAGTGATAAAAATAGGGGCAAATGTAATAGACTTTTTCCTAATGAGTTTGTTAAATTTGGGTGCAAAATTATATTATTTGATAAGATGCTCTATGTACATAGAGGAAATACCTAAAACATTTATGTTTAAAATGTGGGGAGATTAAACAGACCTAAATGGATGGAAAGTTTCCACACTTTGTTTGAAGTGGTAAAATGTCAATTTTAGGTAATATGTCAATACCATTAGGGAGTGATAAGCTGCATACGTATATCTTCACACCGAGAGCAATCCCTAATAACTCTGTACAAAGAGACAGCTCGACAAGAATACAGATATTTTAAAATAAAGTGATTTTAAATGTTCAAACAAGCTACAGGGAAGGCAAGAAAAGGAAACAGGAATTAAAAACAAAGGAAACACACACACACACAAATAATAAAATGGCTGACATAGCCCCTAACATGGCAATAGTTACTTTAAAAGCTAAATGTTCTAAATGCACCAAAGACTGAAAATGGCAGGGTGGACACAGAAACAAGACCCAGCTATATGCTTCCTACAAGAAACTCACTTCAAACATGAAAACATAGGTAGGCTCAAAGCAAAAGATTGGGAAAAATGTATACCAATTTCAATTTCAAAACAATTTGAAAAACTAGAAGTGGCTAATATAACATCTCCTTTGTTGGCTCCTCTTATTTCTTGACCTCTAAATACCGGAGTGTCCCATGACCAAGTTCTCAGACTACTTTTTTTATTTATACACGAATTCCCTGGATGAGCTCAGCTAGTGACATACCTTTAAATATAATCCATATGCTAAAGAAGTGCAAATTTACATCACATGCTATGATTCCCACCCCTGTCCCACTGCCTATTCCATGTCCTAAAGTAAAACTTCACAGGGCTGTCAAATGTGGTTAAGGTATCTGCAATACATTTATTCCTTGGGAAGAAACTGAATCTCTTAATGCTTCAGAGAGGGAATAATCCACGATTCCAACTCTTCTTCTAATCTGATCAAATCTTTCATAAAATAGATATACCTTATTACTTATTAAGTAATTAAGTTTTTCCATCCACAAAAAGAATTGGATTTTAAGCATCATCGTTTTATTTGTGTTTAAAAAATTTATTCCGTAAGAACTACTTCATTCTCTATTTACGTCAACGTATTTTGTCCCTAATATATGCGCTAAAATTTGGAGGGAAATAAGATACTCTACCTTTGCACTGAGGTGGGTCTGTCCAAGTTCCATTCAAACATGTCACTTCTATTTCCCCAAACAGATCAAAAGGTTTGTTGCATTCATAACGTACTCTCTCCCCAGGTGGATACCTAGGCATCACACTTAGTATAACAGCATTTTCCACTTTGGGTGGTTTCTCACAGGAAACATCTGAATAGAAAGAAAAAAAGTACCTCCAACATAATGATCATTTTGAGTAGCAAATCAACAAATGAGATTCCAAATATATTTCAAGAGGGGTTTAAAATAAGTCGTTAATCTGTCATAAAAGACTGCTCGTCTTAATAATTTTCATGTAAGAGTGAGGAAAAGGAGAGAAAGCAATATTTCTTTGGTAAGATTTAAGCTTCTACACCTTAAATCTCTCTCCCATCCTTCACTAGACTGTTGATAGACATTTGTGTGTGTGTGTGTGGAGGCCAGTGAAAATGAGAGTTTATCTGGACATTTCTCTTTCAGTTCCTTTTATATAAATTAAAAATGAATTTATAAACCACAAGAAAATCATAATAAAGAGATTATTTGATAGTAGGATTTGGTTTGCAATCATCCTGTTTGTGAATTGTAATTTTAAGCCCCTAGAAAAATAAATACAAATAAGATACTTCCTTAGAGAATAAATCAATCATGAACACATTGAAGAATAACATAGTTGAAGGAAGAACATGACTATTCAAAGGATCCAAACAGGAGGTGTAGAAAAATGACAGAAAAATAACTGTATAGTTTATAAAAACACTCAAATGACTTTTGGGGAGCAAATGCCTAGGATACTACAATGAGTTATGTGTAACTCATCAGTGAGATTCAGGTGGATATAAAGTATAATTGGCTATAGCTATGGTTCCTAAACCAAAGTGTCCATCGAATACCTTGACCCCAGAGCCTTTGATTCAACAGGTCTGACTAAGCCTGTGAATTTGCATTTCCATTTCTAGCAATTTCCCAGAAGATGCTGATGCTGCTCCTCCAGGGACCAAACTTGAAGAACTATCAGGTTACAAGACTAACCATTGAGTAGACAATTCCATTCCATTACGTTAAGGCATAAATCTTCTGTGCCTAAAAACCTGGCCTGAAAAAATAATCTATGTCCATTTTATGATGATGCTAGAGGCAATTCTATATTATATTACTTAAGACACTTGCATAAATAAATTTTAAAATTTCATCGAAGTACCTCTGCAGGTTGGCCTTCCTATCCACTTGCCGTTAATACACTGGACAATACTGGATCCATCCAATTGGTAATATTTGGGACATTTATAAGACACTTGTTCTCCTGACCTATATGACTCCTTCTTCTGGTCTATGAGTATAGCATCATCAAAGCTGGGTAAGCTAAAACAGTCCGTTTCTGAAAGAAAAAAAAATGTATTTGTTCAGTAAATGGTTAAAAATACATAATGGCCAATAAATATATATTCTAGAATAACAGCTACATATAAAACCAATGAATACTGTGCAATAATTTTCTTATACCTTGAAAAAATGTGTTAGCAGTCGTGACTTAATTACATTGAAAGGTTCTACATTTATCAAAATATAACATGGGAATAGTGATTTTGAAACCCTGAAGAGATATGGATGCGTGTAATGCTTGAGACCATACTGCTTACATTCACATTCTTATTGGCCCACCTGCATTTTGGAAGTATTTCTACTTTGTGCTTCTGTCAAAATCTGTTTCTGTTAATTACGTCAAATATCTCAGAAAATTCTATATTTAAAGGAGATAACTGACAAACTAACAGTAAATTGCATAACAATACGATTGATGAGCAGGGGCCAGCTGTGACACTGGAACAGAGATGAAAGGTCTAAGTACATATATCAGAGGATGTCGCAAGTGCACACAAGATGACGGGAGAATGAAATCATTCGGCTCATGTTGTCACACTTTTCTTATTACCAGGGCTATTAATTCCCTTCCAGAATCCAGAACTTCCCAGAGACACCTTGTTAAATTCTAGAATTACTGCTTAGTTTCATATTTGTACCATTTATGCTACGAATTAAAGATATTTATCAGCCTTAGAACAAAATGAAATACACTATACTTATGCATTCTGGAGGATCGGACCATTTTCCTCCTAAACACTTTATAGATGCAGGTCCATCAATCCCGAAGCCTTCGGTACAGCTGTACATAACTTCTTCTCCATATTGGTAACTGCGTAACTTGTGAGACTGAACACCGTGTGGGATCGGAGGTGGCTGTTCGCAAGGAATTCCTTTAAAAAAAAAAAGAAATGAAAGAATGACTCCATGTTACACTAACTCTGAAATTTAATTCTATGTACCAGTTATCATATTTGGCTGTTTTAATTTACAAGACATGATCACACAGGAGCTACCATCACATTACGGAGAAGATGCACAAACGCTTCCTAAAACCACCATTCTGGTGTGTGTAAAGCTGTCAATTTGAGCAAAAAGTTGACACTAAAAATGTCAATATATTTATGAAAGACTATCGATGCTTCTCTAACCAAGCATGAATAATATAAGAAAACATCAAGAATTAATCATCTTCAGAAAAGTACTATATATTGTGAGAAATCAGAAGGGACGTTGTTGGCAGAACATAGGAAATTTTTTTAAAAACTTGGCGTCGAAGCAAACACTATACCTTATATGAAGAGTTAGGTACATGAATAGGTATAGCTACAAATAAGGAGGTTTAATTTCACTATACATCCACTTTTAACACAAAACAAGCCAGAATTAAAAGTGATTTTACAAGGAACCAATGACCTTAACAAAAATAAGCTTGATTTGATTATGCAAAAATTGTTTGATAAAATATGTAAATATGTAAATGGTAGAAAAACGTACAAATGACTTTATTTATTTAGAAATGTAATGGATTCTTTCTCGTAACTTTGATGACAACTGATTATTTTTAATGCACTGTACTGAAAATAGGATTTTAGTTTGTGTACTCTCCTTACCTACACACTGAGGTGGAGAACTCCATTTTCCCATGTGGCATGTTATCCTATCTTCTTCAGATATCCTGAAACCATCATCACAAATATAACTTAATCTGGTGCTATGTGGATAAAGCTTGGGTTCAAATCTCTCTTTCTTTTCTTCTGGAGAGTTAGGTGATTCAATGGTTCCATGTTCTATATGAGGTGGTTGAGAACATGGAATTTTTTCTATACGAAGAAAAGAGATCAAGGAGTTAAGCACAAATATAATGTTTAAATTGAAAAATAAAATCAAACACTCTTTGGGATTTTAAAATAAGGATAGTTTGAACAAATTAAGTTATTTTAAAAACTGAAAACCATTTGAAACTTGAAAGAATATGTCTTCATAAATTCTATACTACTATCCACTTGTTCAATATGCCCCTTCATTCTTGTCAGGTTCATCATGAGGAGTAAAATAGGCCTGAGCAGAAATTTTATCTGGTATTTACACAGTAACCCAAAGTTTTTGTCTATATTCATTTCTCAGTAGAAGTGAAAGGATGCTGACTGATTTGTATACATAGATTTTAATTTGCTGTTTCAAGATAAACTGGAATAGATATAGAGCAAGGCCTTCATCTTATTCATCTTCACAAAGCACATGACAGTATTAGCTTATTTGAAAGAATGTCACAAAGCAAGTTATGAACTACTGACCCACACAGCGTGGTGTTGACTCCCATCTTCCATCTTTGCACACAATTTCTTCCTCTCCTTGAATTAGATATTTTTCTTGACAGAGAACAGATATTTTTTCTCCATCTCGATAATTCACTGTTGTTGTCATATCTTGAGCATTGGGAATCTGAGGTGGAGGTGGGCATGATTGTACTTCTAAAAATATTAAAATTAGATTTCTTGATTAAAAATCATAAGTTAAAAATATTACAAGGGTAATTCAGTAAATAGAAAACTTAATAATAATGTACCATACATAAAATTCTAACGTTATGTTCTATGTTTCAATATGTTACGCTTTTCAGCTTGTATACCCTTTTAATCTATCACGTTGGGTATATATCCTCATGGTCTTCCTTGGACTTTCTTCTTTTTATTCTTTCTGTGATCTTTCTGTGATCATTCTTTGCATAATTTATGTAAAACCTATTTTGATTATTTCCAACCATTAGGATGTTCTAGCTGAATAACTCATTCAATACCAGGCACTAAATAAAGACTGACATCAGGATCCTTTTTTTCTTTTTCATTTTTTTAATCGAGGTAACATTGCTTTATAACATTATATAAACTTCAGGCGTACATCATTATATTTCAATTTCTGTGTAGACTACATCATTGAGAATTTTTCTACAGATATCCATGATCCAATGTATTGGGATTGGATTAAAACCCTCACAAGATATTCTACCAATGGAAGCTGATTAGTCAGACGAAGAATTATATTTAGTTAATGATCAATTAATTTGATAGAGTTTCTTGGCCAAAGTAAGAATTAGATATGTTCACTAGCAGTTTATAGTGTGTTATTAAAAGTTCAAAACTCCCCTGGAGGTTCTGTTTACCAGCTTGCCTACACTGTTAAGGGATACAGACGGATGAAGTGTTCCCAGTTGAAGAGATTAGACAGCCTGGCTTTAGTTACATGACCAGCAGTGTATAAAAGATCCCTCTGTAAAGTTGTGTCTGAGCGCCCACAAAACTGAGACACCTCAGATATATCTCGTCAGTTCATAATCTGAAGACAAAGCATGTCCTGTTCAACTGAGGGAAGATTCTGGATGACCATCCCTGGAAGATTTAGAACCTCTCTATGATTTGTTGCTTTTATTTTCTCTTTTCATACTGTGTCTTTATTTCATTAAAGAGAATCAATTTGAATGTGATGAAAAAATTGAACAAAGAGTGAAATATTGATGAAATAATAGCAAAATTTCATACTGTATCTTTGTTTCATACAGTATCTTTTTTCATTATGTGAATATAAAAGAGGAAGTCTTGTAAATCTTTTCAGTTGTCCAACATTTTCTATTCAATTCAGGCAAATGTTTCACTGAATACACTTCATTCATGCTTATTAATATTGTTCAGATTTTCAGTTTCTATCTAACTCTATAATATTTTATATTCCATCAAAAATATTTTTTCGTTTTTCTGTTTTAAATATCTTGGCATATTTTTCTACGTATTCTCCAATTTATTTTCTTCTGTGTCTGATCTTTAACCACCTTTGTCCTAAGAATCTTAATTTGAACTTCTTCTTGGTAAGTCTTGCTAGAGGTTGGTTTATATATTAAATTTCCCTAAAAGCTGAATTATTATTCTGCAAATCAGCTGTTTATGCATTTTTAAGCTTCTTATAATAGTAATTGATGCTTTAATTATTCTTTCCTTCTATGTTTTTTGGGTGTATTATCTTTCCTAGCTTCAGGATTGTAATACCTATTGCTTTTATTTTGCTCTTTGTTTTATAATGCATGTTTTAAAGCTATAAATATCTTTGCCTTTGCTGCATCCCATAGATTTCAATGTGTACTGCTACCATTGTCATTTTATTCAAGTATTTTCTGTTAGTTAATCACTAATAAGGGATTTTTTTTCCCCCGGATTTGTAAGATGGGTGAATAAGGTGTGCCGGTAGTTCTCTTATCATTTTATATTTGCTTTCAATTTAGAGAGAATGGTCTGAGGACACTGATTACTTGAAATCGGTTGGGAATTCCTTTCTCACATGGACATGATCAATTGTTTTAAATTAATTGACTATGTTAAATTAAGCCAATATAGACTTCAAGACATCAGTATTACAAATATAATCAAGAAATACTTTATCATTATAAAAATGATAATTCACAAGGACAAATTTATCATAAATGTGTATGTATCTAAAAATACATGAAATACATGAAGCAAAGATGGACAAAACCAAAGGAAGAAATAGACAAATCCACAATCCTAGTTAGCAGTACTGATACCCTACTTACTCTGACTGATAGAATAAGGAGATAAAAAATTTTAAGCAGACATAGACGAACTTAAAGAACACCATGAACTTCTTTAACCTGATCCAACAACTAGAGTACGCCTATGCTTTTATATGAAAATAAAACCATCACGAAGATAGAAAACGAGCTGTGCAATAAAAAAAGAAGGACCAAGTCTCAAAATATTGAAATTTTACACAGTATGTTCTGTGACAACAAAACTGGATTAGAAATCAATAAGTATAAATTATCTATGCAAACATCCACTATACTCACTAAATTATATACATCAAATATGTGCAGTTCTTTACACAACAATCATACAACATAAAGCTCTCAAAAGAGAATAAATTATTTAGAAAAGCATGAATATTTGGAAATTAAATGACAAACTTTTAAATAACTGACAGGTCAAAGAAGAAATCACAAAGAATTGTAGAAAATATTTCACATAGAATTAAACAAAAATAAAATAAATTTAAAATTTTTTTGAGACACAGCTAAAGCAGTATTTAGAAACAAAAATGTAGTTTTAAAGGTTTATATTTAAAAAGCACGATGGTTTAAATTTAAACTTTCATTTTCTGCTTAAGAAATGCAAAAAAGAGTAAAATTAAAATCAAACTACTAAGAAGGAAGGCAACAATAATTCCACGGAAGACAGAAAATAGAGAAAATTGAGAAAGACAAAGAGAAAATTAACAAAGCGAAAAACGGTGAATGTTAATAAAGCTAAAAAATAAAAAAGAGTGAAAATTAAGAGTGTTAAAATTAGTTATTTGAAAACATAATTAGAAAACCCGAGGAAGGATGATCAAGATGAAAGAGAGAGACAAATGTCAATATCAAGAATGAAAGAAGTGACATCACCAGAGATGCTATAGAAGTGAAAGGAAAACAGAATATTTAAGTGACTAATAGAAACACCTGTATACCCATCAATTTGATAAATTGGATAAAATCGAGATGATTCTTAAAAAATACAACTTCCTTACATTTTGACAGAGATAACATAGAAAATCTGAATAGCCCACTACTTACTAAAGAAATTGAATTCTTCATCAAGAAAGTCTTCCATAAAAGCAAACTAGGCATCAGATGACATCCCAGGTGAATTCTATCAATCATTTAAGGGAAAAAATAATACAATAATAATCTTACACCCGCACTTTCAGAAAACAGAGGAGCAGAGAACACTTCTCAATCTCTTTTATGATGCCACAACATCCCCAAGAGCAACGCGGCAGAGACATTACAAGAAAAAGTAACGACAGATTCGTTTCCCCCTTGAACACAGAGGCAAGAACCCTTAAAAATATACCAGCAAATCAAGGAAACAAAACTATAGAGAGAATAGTATATCACCACCAAGTAGAGTTGACTCTAGGAATGAGAGACGTGTTCCACATTCAAAAATTTACAGCCCTAATTTCCCATATTAACAGAATTCAGAAAGTCATATCATCATACGCATAAAAAGCATCTAAAAGCATTCAACGTTGGTTGATGGTACAACTTCTCACTCAGCTAAGTAGGAATAGAAGGAAATTCCCCGAATCTGATAAAGGGCAACTACAAAAATTCTAAAGTGACTTTATAATTGTGGTAAAATGTTGACTATCCTCTCCCAGTGGTCAGGAATAAGACAAAGATGTTTGTTCTCATCTCTTCCCTTCAACAGTTTACTGGAGGTCTTGCTCAGTGCAAGAGGATAAGAAAATAAACAAAAAATCAAAATTAAAACGGACCAGTAGAAATAAAATCTTGCATTTGCTATGATACAGTTGCTTACAAAATAATGTCTAGAATGAATAAGGCAACTTAGTACAGTTTCAGAGGATAAAATAAATATACAAAAATCAAGTGCATTTCTTTACACTTGCAGCAAAAAAAAATGGAAAATGTGAGTTTGAAAAATAGCATTTGTAATACTAAAACACAAAATAGGAATAAATTTTTTAGAACTGTAAATCTTCTACACTTACAACATTACTAGGATAATAGAAGTAGAAATAAATAATTGTAGACACATATCATATTTATAGATTGAACACTCAATTTGGTTAAGATGTCAATTTTCTCTAATTTATCTTTCATTATACAAGCCATCCCTTTCATTATACAAGCAGATATTTCATGGAACTTGATTAGTAGTCCCTGAAATTTCTATGTTAATGAAAAGACCAGAATAACTAAAACAATCTTGAAAAGGAAGAAAATAATTGGAGACTGTATATATCAGACTTCAAGACTTACTATAAAGCTGTAGTTATCAAGGCACTGTGACAGGGCTAAGGAGAGATAAATGGATAAATGGTCTGAAAAGAAAGTCCAGAAATAAATCAACACTTCCATAGTCAATTGATTTTCATTTCAAAATTTTTTCCATACATATTGCTAGAACAACTGGCTATCCATATATAATAAAAAACACCAACCCCTGTTTTATACCATCTTCAAACATTAATGTAAGATGGATAATATGCCCATATATAAATACTAAAACTGTACAGCTTCTAGAAGAAAATGTAGACCATGTGTACTGTACTGCCTGTAAATATCATTTCTTTTTTTTTTTTAATTTGTGTTTTAATAGTTTTTAACATTGTGAAATTTTGGGTTGTACATTTTTGTTTGTCCATCACCATATATATGACTCCCTTCACCCCTTGTGCCCACCCCCCACCCCCATTGCCCCTGGTAAGCACAATATAGTTTTCTCTGTCCATGTGTTGGTTTATATTCCACATATGAGTGAGATCATACAGTGTTTGTCTTTCTCCTTGTGGCTTACTTCACTTAACGTAATACCCTCCAGGCCCATCCATGTTGTTGCAAATGGGATGATTTTGTCTTTTTTATGGCTGAGTAGTATTCCATTGTATATATATACCACATTTTCTTGTTCCAATCGTCAGTTGAGGGACACTTAGGTTGCTTCCACTTCGTGGCTATAGTGAATAATGCTGCAATAAACATAGGGGTGCATAAGCCTCTTTGGATTGTTGATTTCAGGTTCGTTGGATAGATTCCCAGTAGTGGGATGGCTGGATCATAGGGTATTTCCATTTTTAATTCTTTGAGGAATCTCCATACCGTTTTCCATAGAGGCTGCACCAGTTTGCATTCCCAACAGCTGTGTATGAGGGTTCCTGTTTCTCCACATCCTCTCCAACATTTGTTGTTTTTTTTCTTGGTGATTATAGCCATTGTAATGGGCGTGAGGTGATATCTTAGTGTTGTTTTGATTTGTATTTCCCTGATGATTAATGATGTTGAACATCTTTTCATGTGCCTATTAGCCATATGTATATCTTCTTTGGAGAAGTGTCTGTTCATTTCCCCTGCCCATTTTTTGATCGGGTTGTTTGTTTTTTGTTGTTCAGTTGTGTGAGTTCTTTATATATTATGGAGATCAACCCCTTGTAGATGTATGTTTTGCAAATATTCTCTCCCAGCTGGTGGGTTGTCTGTTCATCTTGATTCTGGTTTCGTTTGTCTTGTAGAAGCTCTTTAATCTGATAAAGTCCCACTTGTTTATTTTTTCTTTAGTTTCCCTAGTCTGGGTAGGCATGTCATCCGAAAAGATTCCTTTATGACCACAATAATAGTAGGGGATCTTAATACCCCACTTACATCAATGGATAGATCATCCAGTCAAAACATCAATAAAGAAATAGTAGACTTAAATGAAAAACTGGACGAGATGGACCTAGTAGACATATACAGAGCACTCCATCCAAAAACAGCTGACTACACATTCTTCTCAAGCACGCATGGAACATTCTCAAGGATAGACCACATGTTGGGAAACAAAGCAAGCCTCAATAAGTTTAAGAAGACTGAAATCATAACAAGCACCTTTTCAGACCATAATGCTATGAAACTGGAAATTAACCATGAAAAAAAAAATGGGGAAAGTGACAAAAATGTGGAGATTAAACAACATGCTACTGAACAACCAATGGATCATTGATAAACTAAAGGAGAAATCAAAAACTATCTGGAAACAAACAAAAATGAAAATATGCCACACTAAACCATATGGGATGCAGCACAAGTGGTCCTGAGAGGGAAACTCATAGTGATACAAGCCCACCTTAACAAACAAGAAAAAGCCCAAATAAGCAACCTTAAATTACACCTAACAGAACTAGAAAAAGAAGAACAAACAAAGCCCAAAGTCAGTAGAAGGAGAGAAATAATAAAAAGCAGAGCAGAAATAAATGAAATTGAGACCAAAATCACAGTAGAAAGGATTAATGAAACAAAGAGTTGGTTCTTTGAGAAGAGAAACAAAATCAACAAACCCTTAGCCAGGCTTACTCAGAAAAAAAGAGAAAAGGCTCCTGTAAATAAAATTAGAAATGAAAGAGGAGAAATTACAATGGATACCATGGAAATACAGAGGATTATAAGAGAATATTATGAGAAATTATATGCCAACAAATTGGACAATCTAGAAGAAGTGGATAAATTCTTAGACTCATACAACCTCCCAAAACTGAACCAAAAAGAAATGGAGAATCTGAATAGACCAATCACAAGTAAAGAGATTGAAATAGTAATCAAAAACCTCCCAAAAAATAAAAGTCCAGGACCAGATGGCTTCTCCAGTGAATTTTACCAAACATTCAAAGAAGGTTTAATACCCATCCAGCTCAAACTATTTCCAAAAAATAGAGGAAGATGGAACACTTCCTAAATCATTCTATGAGGCCAACATCAATTAGGCAAGAAAAAGGAATAAAAGGAATCCAAATAGTTAATGAAGAAGTGAAACTCTCACTATTTGCAGATGACATGATTTTATATATAGAAACCCCTAAAGAATCCGTTGGAAAACTATTAGAAATAATCAACAACTAGAGCAAAGTCGCAAGGTACAAAATCAATCTACAAAAATCAGTTGCATTTCTGTATGCTAATAACGAACTAACAGAAAGAGAGCTCAAAAAGATAACACCATTTACAATTGCATCAAACAGAATAAAATACTGAGCAATAAATCTTACCAAGGACGTGAATGATCTATACAATGAGAACTACAAGACATTATTGAAAGAAATTGATGGTGACATAAAGAAATGGAAAGACATCCCATGCACGTGGATTGGAAGAATAAACATAGTTAAAATGTCTATATTACCTAAAGCAATCTACAGATTCAATGCAATCCCAATCAGAATCCCAATGACATTCTTCACGGAAATAGAAAAAAGAATACTAAAATTTATATGGGGCAACAAAAGACCCTGACTAGCTAAAGCAATCCTAAGAAAAAAGGACAAAGCAGGAGGCATCACAATCCCTGACTTCAAAACATACTACAAAGCAATAGTAATCAAAACAGCATGGTACTGGTACAAAAACAGACACACAGATCAATGGAACAGAATTGAAAGCCCAGAAAGAAAACCACACATATACGGACAGCTAATTTTCGACAAAGGAGCTAAGAACATACAATGGAGAAAGGAAAGTCTCTTCAATAAATGGTGTTGGGAAAACTGGACAGCCACATGCAAAAGAATGAAAGTGGACCATCTGCTATCTCCATTCACAAAACTTAAATCAAAATGGGTCAAAGACCTGAAGGTGAGACCTGAAACTATAAAACTTATAGAAGAAAATATAGGCAACACACTATTTGACATTGGTCATATCATTTCTTTTTTTAAAGAACTAAAAATATGTTAAACCGTAGACAGTAGATTTGTTTTTATATTTGTATGAAACTACTTTCTGTATTTTCTAGGCTTGAGGAAATCGGTAAAAATATTAAGGAGAGTGAGTCCAGGTGCCCTACACTTAGAGAAGAGAAATACAGATATGAAAAGTGGAAAACTGGAATGAACGCTGTGCTATTAAATTGAAATTGGTGCTGTCAATATGACTCAGAGATTTCAAGATTAGTATAGATAAATGATAAACGACTAAACAGATACATAGGTAGATGATATAGATAGATAGATAGATAGATAGATAGATAGATAGATAGATAGATAGATAGATAGAGAGATAGTTGATTGATACATAACAGTCATAGACATAGGCATAGGCAGATGCGGGTGTAATATAAGGAATTCGAAGCAATGGTGTTCTAATAGTAATGAGCACCAGATGTTAGTTGAAAACCACCAAGTTTCTGGGTGGTTTGTTACCTAGCTGACTAGTGCACATGATACAATTAAAATGTAGAAACAGTGTTTTGGTTAGTATCTAAATTATCTTCCAGCTTGAAACTTATTTGTTATAGTAAACACGTAAAATTTTTAAAAGACAGAAAGATAATACTTTCACAAGTTAAGAAGAAATAGAATAAAATTTTGAACATATTATAAATAAGAGTTTACCTGTGCAGGTAACTTCAGGATCCCATTTTCCATTTATGCAGACTGAGCGTTTGGATTTTCCTTTACATTTGTAATTTATGTTGTGGCCATGATTAAATTCATTCTCATCTGATGGGTTTGTCTCACGTAGAATTAACTTTGGAAACGTACACTTCACAAGTTCATCTGTTGCTATAAAACGAAAAAGTTTCCTTGAAAATACCAATTATAAAAATCAAAGCAACTACTGCAATAAAACAGACATAGCATCAATGGTATAACGAAATTAGAATGCACACCTATAAATTCCACCAACAAAGTTATTCCTCATCATATTGCATAAGATGGGCCATTATGTATGAACATAAGTCCCGTATCCACTCTTTGAAATTTCAGAGAAAATATCCATTATTCAGACATTTTTCACTTTGGAGATTGGAAAAGCACAAGATCACTTTTTGGATGATCGACATAGTGAACAGTCATCCCATGACTGAATTTGGTCCCATAGTTGAAATCTGCACAAACACTCACATTCATTCATTTCTTAATCTCAAGCATCTCTACATCGTTTTTATTGCACAGTCTTAAAACATTAAAATAACAACAATTATCTGTGGAACTAGAATATATGAAGTTGTTAGTTTAAATACATTTTTTTCAAGAAAGGTAACATAACATAATAGGAAAAGTAGATCTAAGATGTCTCGTATAGAATGTGAATATTTAAGCAGATATTTAAAAAGAGACAGATAACTGGAATAAGAAACTGAGTGCTTAAAGTCACTACCTATTTTCTATATATAATCTTAGAATTCTTAAGAAGCTAACTTATACACCAGAACACCATATAATTCAATAATATTATAATACCATAATAGTAAATTTTTGCTGGTTTGACTGTGAGTTAAATACTGACTATAGAAACCTTTTATATAGTTACATATTTCAAAAATTCAGTACAGGTAAGAGTCCTTCTGAATTCTGATAAAATATCAGTGTAGGATTTTGGTAGTATTTGTTAACGGTTTATTAATGATCAGAGTCAGGTAAGGATGAACAGAATAAAGAAAACCCAAGTGACTGGCCAATGTAAAGTAATGATTTTGTACTGCAACCCTGACAAACAGTTAAGTAAAGGAGACTAATTCAAGACACAGCAGAGTCTTGAGGAATAGTTCTATTTTTAGGACTGGTCCAGATTGTTGGGGGAGACAACACTAGATATTCTTCAAGAGACAGTAACTGAAGGAAGATCTGTGGTCAAAAGAGTGGTGGTGGCAGTTGTCACTATGTCCTGTAATTGCTTGGTTTCTGAAAGGATTTCTTTGTTTATTAAGAGAAAATAAACAATTGAGAGGAGTGAACGGCTAGACTAGAGGGAGGTGCAAATAGACATTGAGAGGATAAAATTGCAGTAAGGCATATGACAGCTTGAAGGGGATTATGTGAAGGTGAATATAGGTAGAGAATTCACCTTAGACAGGAAAACTCTGAGATCAGAAGAGAGTATTAATTGAAGCAGATGTTTGGAGTAAGTTAGAATGGAAAGTTGAGAGATTTCATGCCCAACATTACCTTGGGTTTTTCCCCATGTGAAATAAGGTGGGATCATTTGTAGAGATAGAAGAGGACAGAGATGAGGTTTGGTCCTGAAGAACTGGCAATACCTGTGACAGGAATGTCTTTAGAAAAATGTAAGGATTAAGAAGTGACCAAATTTATTGATTCCTTTAACAAACTCCTAATGAATATCTCCTATATGTCAGCCAGTCTTTTGGCTGTTGAGAATACATCAATGAACAAAATAGCTATCGATTCCTGCTCTAATGGAGCAGAGGCTCAGTTCTACCTTCTTCTTGGAATAATCAGTGACTAGAAATCTGATGAATAAGAAAGACTGGACATCCAGGGATCCCTTTGAATGTAGGACCCAGGAAAACTCCAGGAAAGAACTTATTCCAAAGGAAAAATGAAAGAGGACAGCGGGATTCTCCCTGTTATCAAAGCCTTGGTCATCCAAAGGTTGGGATGATTCACTTACAGAGTGCAGGGCATCAATCAGATTTGTTTCCTGGCCCAAATCCTACTGCGTCCTATGACTTAGAGGGCTTGTGGCCCACCCACCCTCCAGCACATTAACCACTTTTTGTTGCATTTGAAACAGACTGAGAAATTATCATTGTTAGAAGCTCTGGGATAGGCAAAAATCCTATAGGAGTATAGCAAGTGGGTATTTTCTCAACTCTTTTTCCTTGTTTTCCAGGGTCTAAAAGAAAGTGCCACAGAAAAACAAAAATGGTATTTGTGCAAGTATAGTTATATTTTCCTGGTAATTACTACTTGTATTTTAATCATATAAATATCTTTAAGTAAAATTTAGCTTCACACTAATAAAGATACACAATGTTAATATCAGAGACAAAAAGATTCATGAAATTCTATTGCTAATTTATATTTGTCCTCTGTACACACAATGAATTATCAACAACAAACATTTGGATTCGTTGTAATTTAAGACCTGACATTTTCAAGAATATCTCTCAATTTCAAAAATATGGTTCTGAATACTGTTTTTACAACAAAAATATTAACCTCTATTAAATGTCAATTGAGAAGTGTATTCTCACCAATGCACTGAGGAAGTTGGGTCCAGGTTCCACGAAGACACATAACTGATCTGTGTCCAATCATTGTAAATGCTTCTCTGCAGTTGAACTCTACTGAATCTCCATGGTGATAGGGAGGGGCGGAAGGCTGGACATCGCCGTGATCAAGCTCAGGTATATCTCCACAGGTACTCTCTTCCTCTGTGAATTTTCACAAAAATGTGTTTATCTTGAAGATATAATTTATGTGTGTATATGAAAACAAAAAGTTGATTTAAGTTTAAACATTAATATTTTTTATACATTACCAATACACACAGGCAAGGTTGTCCATTTTCCATCAACACACTGAGTTTTGTTAGAACCCTTCAACAGAAATCTAGGATTGCAAACATATTCCACCTCTTCGCTGTGTCCATATTCCTCTTTCTGTGTTTCTTTAACTTCTCCATTGGGGAGTGGAGGGGGTGGACCACACGCCCGTACATGCTCTAGAGTAGAAATACTGTGTAATTAATGCTTAAATTGTCTATTTTTTCAACTTAAAATTCCAGTAAAATGGAATGGTTTTTTCCTTAATTTATTTATTATTTCTTATATAATTTATTAGAGCATCCTTAAACAATGACCAAACAATGGAGTTTACACCAGATTCGTGTTTCCCAGGTCTATTACTTATACTATGAACTAGCATATTGGAAGTATATTTAAAACCAGAAAATAGGTTCAATAATCCAGATGTTGTAAAGATGTATGCAAACCACTTAATAAATAGGGTTGTGTTGGTGATAGCAATATCCATATTCCACAGAAACATTTTATGAAAACTTTCTGAAAAAATACCACCATTGGGGGCAAGCATTTGATCAACATATTTCAGCTTTGATTAAGCCATACATGAGCTTGAATTGACTAGAAGCTCCTTGAATATTCTTTGGACATAGTCAATGGAACTTGTTGTCAGGGCCATGCCATCTAAATTGTCCAATATTAATGGAGGAATTGTATGCAAAAGGAAAAGCAACAAAAGAAATCCCTCCAGGGGCAGACATCCTGTGTGTATCTATGGAGACTTCCACTACATATGACAAGAAACAGCTGGAGATTAATTTCCCAAAGAAGGAAATCTGAAATATCTTCTACGGAACACATGTCCTTCACAGGTATACCCTGGCTTAATGCATGAGATTATAGACACACTGGAAACAAACAGAAAATTAAGAGAGGAGAAAAAGTTGATATCGAAAATTCCAATTCTGGTTTCAGCAATTGCGAGATACATATTCACCTTTACATATTGGAAAATCAGGGGACCATCCGAAGTGGTAGCACTGAATTGAATCTGCTCCAACTCTTATACGTCTTTGTCTGCAGGAGAATTTCAGTACATCTCCAACTTTGTAAGTGCGTTTCTTGGGCTCAACATTTAATAAGCTGTCTATTTGGGGAATACTGCATTCTCTTTCTATAAACAAGATCAAATAATTTAATCAGATTATATAATCATTTTTATATATGTCATGTAAAAATGAGGTGCTAGGAACTGCATATACAGAGGGACACTAGACAAAATCTTCTTCCTTGAAAAATGCTACATGTTAGGTTTTATACACCCTCTAAATCCATATGAGACTCTTTGAGCTGTATTAAGATATTGAACAGCGATATTTGTACCCAGAAAATTTATTTGTAAAGTCAACTTTCTTATACTAGATCTGATGTTATCACTGACATTTATAACATTTAATGTTACATTTTCCGTACTCTCAAAACATAAAGTACTCTCCCACATTAAAAAAAACTAATGCTACAATTCTTAAATTGCACACCTATAAATACTTGGTAATTTTATTTAAAGTAATTTGAGAACCAGAACACACAAAAGAGACATTTCTAATGCATTTTAGTTAGAGGAACATTAAAAACTGCCTAATTAATATTCTGCATGTTCAGAAATCAAACTGAAACTTGAAATAAAATGAAGAAACACGTTTGAGGCCATATCGTATGGCTAGGTGTATTCTAGGCATTCTGAATATTTCTATAATATACAAATGTCTATTCTTATTATAACTGTAATTTATACTAGCTACTAATAAATTGTTAATTATTCTCATTCAAATAAGTAATGTGTAAAATATCCCTTAATACTTGTCAAATTTGTGACATTGCTAAATATTATGAAAAATGCATTATTTTATTTAGAATTTTTCCATCTTGCAAATTAATTTATAAAATTAAAAATTAATTTAAAAATTAGAGTCATACTAAAAAGAAACGTTTTACTAACTAAAAGTCATGTATTAAAACACTCATAAAATTAGGTGTGTTAACTATTTTTAAAACTAATGTCACAAAAATAATAACTCAATAAATTTGCTCTTGTTTTTGTTTTAATGTTGATTCTTGAAGTTTAGTTGAGAAGATAACACTTAACGAGAACCACTTGGATTACTCCCCTAAAATTCGATTCCAATCATCTACATAGCAGTTCTTTTATTTGTATGTCTCTCTGTTTATATATTTTGTGGTCATTTTACATAAATTATCCATCTCATCACATTACGAAAGACACTGCCTTAACAACAACAACAACAGAGCTTGGCTGTTGACTATTTTATAAGTGTTATATTTATATAAAGATAATGACTTAAGAAATGTGATTTAAAGATTTTGAATGGGCATACTATGAATTAGAGATATTTGGCTTTGCCCCTAAAAGTCAAAATCCTAAATCCTAGCACTGATGATTGGAAACATGAGTATGAATTTTTTACTCTGAAGTGTACATTTATTTAAGATTGCTGTAAACATTGTTGGGCTTAAGTGGCTTATGACAGCAACGATTGTTTGGAAATCTCTCCCCAAAGGACAGAACACCCAGGATATTGGAAATAAACTCAGATATCAGCCAATCTGGTTGCACTTTTCTGCTACATGTTTGAGGGAAGTTATTTGAAAAGACTAGTAAACTGTGATTTGTTCATTTGATATTTGGAGGCCTACACCGTGCTGGAGAATTCCTAGCAATGTGTTCACAAGGTCATAAGTTTTTATAAAATTTGCAATAGAAAGCCATGTTGGCCACATCAGTTTCCACTGCTGTCTCTGTCACTCCAACTTCTTCTCCTTCATGTTTCCTGTCATGTGGTGACGTTGGAAACACCAGCAGAATTATATGGTCATGATTTTGCATTCTTTTTTAAAGAAGGCCCCTCAAAATGTAAAAGCTTCCGGCTTCCTAAAACCTGGATCTGCCTCTAATCCCAGAAAAGAAATTCATGATCATCTTGAAAGCTTTCCACTTTACTTAGAATAAAATCCAAACTCTTTATGATCCATCCTTTGCCTGCACTTCCAATGTCATCTTATATCTCTCTCCCCCTCTCAATCCAGACTCCAGGCTTTATGATCTTTGAATTGTTTAAATAGCTCAAGTTCTTTGCTGCCTCAGCTGTGGACAGACCCCTATCTCTATCCTGAATGGTTGTCACCCTTTCTTTGCATAGATGCCTTCCTATATAAAGTAGATCCATCCATCCTCTCCTATTTTCAAAGTTCTTGCATTCTTTTGTTCCTCTGAACACAGTCATATATCAAATATATTTAAAATATTTTTATCATTTGTTCATTATTTGCCTTAATTCATTGATTTTTTCATACTGGAATGAAAGGTCTCAAAAGGCAGACCCATGTTTGCATTTTTCACCATTTTCTCCTAGCCTATTTCTAGCCCATGATAGGTGTTTGCTGTCAGCGTGAATCCAATTCACTGGGACCAAGACACTGCTAAGCAAGTCTACCTCAGCTCTATAATGAGCTCACTGTGTGTCTCTCACAAGTCTCTATTTCAAACCTTTTCTACTCTACCTAGTGTGCCCTCTCCTCCTTTCCCCATGCACCACTCAATCTCAGATGACTTTGTCTTGTATTTCAAAGGAAAATAGAAACCATCAGCTCCTGCTTCTCCCCAGCATTACATTTACACTTCTCTTTTCCTTCCTTCCTCCTGTGAAAAGTTGGAAGTAGCCCCATCACTGCCAAACCCTATTACTTCCACAGGAGCTCTGGTTCCCTTTCTCTCCCACCTTCACAGGGAACTATCCGCCTCATGTATTCCATGTCTCCCTGCTTCCTTCTCTACTGCATCCTCATCAGCATTCAGTCCACTCTCATGTCTCCCATCTTTAAAAAAAAAAAATACTCCCTTGGGCTGGCCCGGTGGGGTAGTGGTTAAGTTTGTGCACTCTGCTTCAGCAGCCCAGGATTCGCAGGTTGCAGACCTACACACCGCTCATCAAGCCATGCTGTGCTGGTGTCACATATACAAAGTAGAGGAACATTGGCACAAATGTTAGCTCAAGGTCAATCTTCCTCATCAAAAAAAGAAACAACAATACTTCCTTGAGTGTATAATTTCCTCTAACAACATTCTGAATTTCCTATTTTGTGGCACAGTCAACCTTGAAAGAATTTTGCCCACATGTTGTATGAAATTTCTTACTAATCATTTTTCTTCAGTAAATTCTATTTAGGTTCTGCCTCATGTATTCCATCCAAAATTGTTTTTGCTACCCTTATTATTGGCCTTGATGTAGCCAAATCCACCATATTTTTACAGTCTCCTAACTGGACATATCTACTGAATTAGAAATGTTCACCACTCAATTTGTCATAATAATGTAATTAGCTTATAATTCATTAGGTTTATCTTTGGCAGGTACTGTGGCAAGAGGTTTATAAGGATAATTTAGTCTATTAGTCAAAACAATCCTTTGAAATATTATGACAATTGTAAATATTAAAACACTTTTCAGATAAGGAAGAGTGAAGAGAGCTTCAAATAGGCGTGGCTGCTGACCTAAGATACATGCTTAGCGAGTGGTGGAGCGGGAAGTAGAACCCGGCCAGTCTGACTCCACACGCTTCACTACTAACCACTCTGTCTGTTTCCTCTGCCTTCAGTCATTTTCTTCTCCTCATATCTGTGACAATATTCACTAGTACAGTTTTCTTCTGATTCTCTGAGTCCTTTTTTCTATCTACTTTGCCTTCTCTTCCTCTTCCCTGTGACACCTAAATGTTGGGAAGCTGCAGGGCTGAGTCCTGAGCTCTCTTTTCCTTTCATTCTTTATTCTTTTCCAATGTGATATCATCATTTGCATGGTGATAATCCCACATGTATATCTCTTGCCTAGACCTACATATCTAAACTGTGGTTTACATATTTGATTTTGATTGCCCATGAGCAGCTCAACCATAATGTGTCCAAGGCAAAAGTTGGGATGTTCCTTTCAAAGTGCTCTCCCTCCTCCAGAACCACTTCACCAAAAGACGTTGCCATTTACCTGCCTGCTTAAAAAATAAAGTCAAATAAACATGTGAGTCCCTTGACCTCTTAATCTTTTTCATACCCAACATTCGAAACATTACCTATGTTTCTACCACCAAAACATATCCCAAATCTTTCCTCTGCTCTGCATCTCTCAGCCATCACCCTATCCCAATCCCAATACCCTTTTTCACCCACATGGACTCCTGAATCTTCTCTTGTTCATCACAAGCACAGCATAAAAAAAAAAGAAAACCTTCAAAAGTCCAAAGAAATTTATATTGTTCCTTTCCTTAAAACTCCTTTATGGCTTTTCATCCATCCCAAAATTAATACAGATGCTAACATGCCCTGAAATAACCTGGACAGTCTTTCCTTTGTCACCTCTCCAGCCTCAGCTCATAAAATTCTCCCACACCTTGAATAGAATCAACTCACCCTGGTATTTCCCAAATATTGTTTTGTTTTCAATGCTTTCCACATACTGTTCCTTTGGCTTGGAACACTCTACATCTACTCAGTTTACTACACATTCATCTACAGATTCCAGCCCCGGAAAACAGACAGCTGATGGGCAAACATAAAAGAGATTCCTGTAATAGTCCACAGGATTTTTCAAAGTCAGAAAATAAAAAGTTCTTCTCAGGACCTGCAGAAATTAATGCTCAAGGTGGGAGGGGTAAAACTGAAACAGAAGCCAAATACCTGAGTAAGTTGTAAGTAACTGTAATTTTGGTAATGAGTGCCGTGTTTAAATAATATGAAAGTTTGCCTTTGGAATAACAAAAACAATTATACTTTAATCACAAATCTATGATACATATGGCTCAGGATTAAAGCACGGTGTTAAAGGTAGCTTGTTATCTCTGGGCTTCAAAACAACCTCTGCTCCCAGTTTTTAATAAATCAGAAGGTGACACCTTGATTTTAATCATTGTTCCTTCAATATGAATCTTGATAATTCAAACTTTTCACAAATTAATGTTAATTTTGTTCATCTTGAAAAAAAGAACAACTGACAAAACAATACTTACCATAACATGTGGGTGTATCAGACCAGCCATCGTTACCACAAACTATGGAACCTGTGGTGCGTCCATCTCTGCTCTCATAGCCATCACGGCACACGTAGTCCAATCTGTCATTGAGCTTAAACCATGTTCTATCACTTTTGGCTCTGGCCTTCTCAAATAGTGGCATATCACAAGATTCTAATGCGTAATAGAATGGAAGATTTCACTTCTAATATTATTAAATGAACAAGCTGAATGAGTATGTCCCATACGAAAGGGAAGTAAAAGACTCTATCAATTAGTATATGCTAATAAATTAAATATCAAATGGAAATAATCTGAGAATGTCAGTGATAAATCATTGTCCTGAAAATCTAACTCAAAAAAGAGTTTCTACATAACATTTTTCGCATCACTTAAACTCTCTGAAAAATTCATTTTAAGAATATTTTTCTCAGTTCAACTATACTCATGTTTTTGTCCCATGTTAGTTATAACATAGGCCAGTGCATTTTTTAGCAAAGTGGAATAGCATTGTGTGAATTAAGATGACCAACTTATTAGCAGTCATGTCACATATGCTAGAGAAAAAGGATTAGTTGAATTAAAAGATTAATTTTCAACAATGCAAGTAAATTTTTTAAATTTCTGTAAAACTCAGTTTTAAAACATTCTAATTTTTAAAGCACACATGCTGATTTTGCTTTCTCAAATATTTTCCTAAATGCTTTGTGTTCTTTTATACTTATCAAGATTGAATATAGAGAGAGTTCTATTGCTTATAATTAGTTATAAGAAAGTAAATTGTTAAAAAATAGTCTCAGGGGGCCGGTCCAGTGACGCAAGCGTTTAAGTGCGCGCTCAGCTGCAGCTGCCTGGGGTTCCCCGGTTCAGATCCCGGCCGCGCACCAACGCACTGCTTGTTAGGCCATGCTGTGGCCACGTTCCATATAAAGTAGAGGAAGATGGGCACGGATGTTAGCCCAGGGCCAATCTTTCTCAGCAAAAAAGAGGAGGATTAGCATCGGATGTTAGCTCAGGGTTGGTCCTCCTCACACACACAAAAAAATAATAATAATAATACTTTCAGTTTTCACTAACATTATACTAGAGTGATGTTAATAAAGGTTTAAATAATTTATCTCAAATTATATAATGTGTTATAAAGCCAGCTAGCTTAAGATTTAGAAAAAGAAAGCAAAACTAAAAACATACTAATAAAAATTTATTTAACCGAGACATTTTCTCTTCCACAATAAGCGTGTTGTAATGGATAGCTGATCACAATTCAGTATAAAATGAATTTCATATGGAGGCAACTTTTCTCATTTTTTCTTTGGCTAGTGCCCATAGTAAGCAAAGAGACTGAAAAAAATGAAATGAAAACAGCAAAAATGGATATTTTAAATATCCCTTTAACTTAAAGTAAATATGTTAAATATCATTTCAAAAAATGTTATTGTGTGGATTTAGGATAATAAGATAAACTGAGCAAATTGTTTTTAGAAAATATTCATAAACGTCTAGGTAATGGGACAGGGAAATCTTTCAACACAGAAAAATTTGGTACCATCTAGAAGTGTTTCTCAGTCTCCACTAATAAGATGTCTAGGAAGATCTCCTAAGGGAGAGGATTTTTCAGAAGTGGACCTATCCTGCAGTATAAAACAAGTAAATTATAAATAGTCTAAGATTATGCATTATGAACCCACCTCTTCGCTTAAAAAAATAACTCTCCTGTCTAGCAGCAAAGACTGAGACATGAAAGTCTGATCACCTTGAAGCAGGTACAACAGGTACAAAGGTCTCAGCTAATAATAAATGAGTTTACACCAGAATACACATAAGTCTTCCTAAGTAGATTTGAAATGACCAGAGGTCTTAAAGAGGGAACACTTGAACTGAAAGATGCACTCATATTATACCACACCAGTAATTAATCTTAAAAGGCAAAGTATCATATATTCTTCTCAAAGTTTTTTTATTTGTCTTTTCAAGTGGAACTACCTCAGACCTCCCAAAAAAGAATTAAAGTAAACTTTTGTACAACGATCATCAGGATGAAGATTAATAACATAGTCCATTACTTACTGATGCATGTGGGCTGAGCTGACCATCCACTTTGCAGACATGTAATTGATCCTGATGCTTTACCATCTGCTGTTACATAGCCTGGTTTACACTTATATCGTGCTCGTTTATTTAAGGGATATGTAAAGTCAGATTCAGAAATAAATCCATTCTCAATTTCTATATCTGATTTTGAACATGTTTCTAAAAGGGAGAAAGCTTAAGGAAAAGACAAGTATATGTCATTTGTAAATGATAACCTGGAAAAATCCTAACCATCCAAGTTCTTGTGCAAAGAAAATAGGCTATGAGTTTCCACAATATTAAATCAAGATAATTTATTCAAATTTGGGAGGAACAAAACAAGATTTAAAATACTCAGAATCTCTTCTAAGAAATTATGAGAAATCTGTTGGTCTAATGGATCTAGATCTTACAGTGTGCCAGAGCTCTCCTAGTAATGGGTCCTTTCCTGGAACTTGTGTTCAATATTGCCTAATTTGGATGTCTTAAGCAAACCCAGAACTCAGTTAACCAGTTGGGGTATCTCAGATCAGATGATGATCTCAGAGGATCTTCCACCACAGCAACCACAGCCTTTGGCCCTGAGATTTTCAAATGTCGATCATCATAATTGGGTGCTTAAAACTATATGGATACAAGGAGTTCACTGAAGATGGAAAAGATCAACACATTCATTGATCTTGGAAGGCCAAAATGATGATTCGTCAAGTTACGTACAAGTTCACTTGAAACAGTAAAAGTAGACTTTTGTCCTTTACTGCATCTCCGCCCAGGACTCAGCTTCATTTATTTAATAACTCATAGATAAAGAAGACAGCAAAAGAGAAAACATTAAGTACTTTTAAATGAATAATAATAAAAACATGTTAAATAAAATTTTGTGAATTGACACTAAGGTAGTGCTGAGAGGGAAATTTTACCATTAAATAGCTATATTAGAAAAGAATAAAGACTGAAAATCAAGAATTGTTTGCACTTTAAGAAATCAAAAAAGAAAAGCAAACAAAACCCAATATAAGTATAAATTTGAAAAAACTATAGAAAAGTTAGTAAGATGGTGGAATAGGATGGCTCGACCTCTCCTCCCCACACACAAACCGAATTAACAGCTACAGGTGTATCAATTCCCTTTATTAGAAATACAAATCTGGTTGAGAGATTCCTGCAGACAAGGCAAGTGAGAAAATGGTAAGGGGTAGGAGAAACTGCAATACAGTCTCATCATAAATCCCACCCCTGGCACAGCACCATCCAGCTGGGAGGGAATGCCCAACTCACAGCTTCTCCTTGAGGAACAAACGGTTGGAACCCTATATCTTGTGTCCCAAGTTTCCAACTGCTACTCCAGGATCTGGCTTCTAAGTCACCTGACTGGGAGGTAAAGGGCCCAGCATATGCTAGTCTCCTGGGGACTACAGAGGACCAAGTGTCAGTTATGAATGAGTGTGTGAGCACTTCTCACAGTTCAGCCCCCAGCTAAGTGCAGAGTGAGCAGATCATAAAGCCCAGCAGCCAGTTCCCCATGGAAGGAGTTAGATCACGCATCTAGACCCTCATCTTTTCCAGATGCTGCCTGAAGAACTGTCTTCTAACTAACCTGTTTCTGAGAGCTGACGAAGACCACAATTGGCTAGATGCCTAGGGGCTCCAGAGAGCAAAATAATGGCTTGACAGAGCATGCGGTTTGAAGGAGTGTGCATGCATTGCCACAACTCCTCTCCCCACCTCAGTGCAGAGTGAGTGGAATGAGAAACTCCAGCTCCCAGCCTCACCCTGAGTAGAGAAGGAACTGGACCACACATCTAATACCTCAAATTTTCTGGCTTTCTTGAGGGCCTGGCTTTTATCTTGCCTATCTCAGGACATTGATGAGACTTGGCTTACTCTAGACTCCTGGGGAATGCTAAACACAAAGACCACAGGTTGGATGAGCAAACAGTTTTGAGAAGCACCCAGAATCTCTGTCTTGGCCAATGATGATAGATTCTTCTACAATCAGGAGGAAGACAAGTGTGCCCACTCTCACCACTTTTATTCAATATGTACTGGAGGTCCTAGCCAAGCAATTAATCTACAAAAAGTGGTGAAAGTGGTAAAGGGGCACAAATCTGCGGTGACAGATGGCAACTAGACTTTTGGTGGTGAACACAAGGTAATCTATACAGAAGTTAAAATATAATTACATCTGAAATTTATATCGTGTAATAAACCAATCTTACCTTAATAAGAAATTTAAACATTAACAAAATTAAAAATATAAAAAAGAAATAAAAGGCATCCAAATTAGGAAGGAAGAAATAAAATTATCTCTCTATACAGAAGACACGATATTATGTGTACAAAATCCTACAGATTGACCAAAGCTGTTAGAACTAATAAACAACTTCAACAAGTTACAGGAAACAAAATCAACATACAAAAATTAGTAACATTTCTACACACTAACAACAAACTATCTGAAAAGGGAATTAATAAAACAATCACATTTACATTAACGACAGAAAGAATGTAATGCTGAGGAATAAACTTAACCAAATTAGTGAACAACTTGTATACTGAAAATTATAAAATATGAATGAAGAAAATTAAAGAAGACATAAATAGAAAGACATCCAGTGTTCATGGATTGGAGTCTTCAATATTGTTAAATGTCCATACTACCCTAAGTGACCTACAGATTCAATGCAATCCTAATCAAAACCCAATGGCATTCTTTCCAGACATAGAAAAAACAAACCTAAAATTAATAGGTAACTACAAAAGACCTGAATAGCCAAAGCAATCTTGAGCGAGAACAAAGCTGAGGATATCACACTTCCTGAGTTCAAAATATATTACAAAGCTACACTAATCAAAACAGTATGGTACTGGCATAAAAACAGACAAATAGATCAGTGGAAAAAGATAGAGAACCCAGAAATAAATCCATACATAAACGGTCACCTGATCTTCAGGAAGGGTGCCAAGACACACCATGGGGAAAGGACAGTTTCTTCAACAAATAGTGTTGTGAGAACTAGATATCCACGTACAGAAGAATAAAACTGGGTCCTTATCTTACACCATATACAAAAATCTACTCAAACTTATTATATTGTTGTCAATTTCTCCTCTTCAAACCTGTCAATATTTGCTGTACATGTTTAGGAGTTCTGATGTGGAGTGCATATATGTTTACCACTGTTATATCTTCGTGATGAATTGACTCTTTTATTATTATCTAATGACCTTCTTTGTCTCTAGAGACAGTTTTAGACATGAAGTCAATTTTTTTGTATTTAAGTATAGCGACTCCTACTTCTTTTGGTTGTCATTTGCATGAAATATCCTTTTCCATGCCTTCACTTCTATTTGTCTTTAAATCTGAAATGAGTCTTTCATTGATAGTATATCATCTGTTCTTGTTTTTTTAGTCGTTCAGGTACTCTTTGTCTTTTGTCGTTGTTGTTTATTGCAGTAACATTGGTTTATAACATTGTATAAATTTCAGGTGTACATCATTATACTTCTATTTCTGCATGGATTACATCATGTTCACCACCCAAATACTAACTATAACCCACCACACACATGTGCCAAATTATCCCTTTCGCCCTCCTCCCTCCCCCCTTCTGCTCTGGTAACCACCATTCCAATCTCTGTCTCTATGTGTTTGTTTGTTGTTGTTATTATCTGCTACTTAATGAGTGAGATCATACGGTATTTGACCTTCTCCCTCAGACTTATTTCATTTTGCATAATACCCTCAATGTCCATCCATGTTGTCACAAATGGCTGGATTTCATCATTTCTTATGGCTGAGTAGCATTCCATTGTGTATATATACCACATCTTCTTTATCCATTCATCCCTTGATGGGCACTTAGGTTGCTTCCAAGCCTTGGCTATTGTGAATAACGCTGAAATGAACACATGGGTGCATGTATCTTTACACATTGGTGTTTTCAAGTTCTTTGTATAATTAGCGAGCAGTGGAATAGCTGGATCATATGGCAGTTCTATCCTTAATTTTTTGAGGAATCTCCATACTGTTTTCCACCAGTTTACACTCCCACCAGCAGTGTGTGAGAGTTCCCTTCTCTCCACATCCTCT